CCAGTGACCTTGAAAGTGGGTCAAGGTCATTCATTTGAACAAACTTGGTAGCCCTTCATCCCAGCATGCTACAGGCCCAATATCAGTACCCCGGGCCTTTTGGTTATTGAGAAGAAGTTGTTTGAAGATTTTAAGACTTTTGAAACCTGCTACCTTGAAAGTGGGTCAAGGTCATTCATTTGAACAAACTTGGCAGTCCTTCATCCAAGCATGCTACATGCCCAATATCAGTACCCTTGGCTTTTTGGTTATTGAGAAGTCGTGTGAAGATTTTCAGACATTTGACCCCTGTGACCTTAAAAGTGGGCCAAGGTCATTCATTTGAACAAACTTGGCAGTCCTTCATCCAAGCATGCTACATGCCCATTATCAGTACCATTGGCCTTTTGGTTATTGAGGAGAAGTTGTTTGAAGATTTTTACACATTTGACCCATGTGACCTTGAAAGTGGGTCAAGGTCATTCATTTGAACAAATTTGGTTGCCCTTCATCCCAGCATGCTACAGGCCCAATATCAGTACCCTGGACCTTTTGGTTATTAAGAAGAAGTAAAATATTGACGACAGACGGACGGACGGACGGACGTTGCACCACGGCCCTTTGGGCCAGGTGAGCTAAAAATTATTGCTTGATTGACATTCCATGTGTCACCAGAATGAGCATCAATCCCCTAACGAATTTGATTAAACACACTTAAACTTTTGCAAGTTTCCTGTCTTTTATTGACAATGATAGGTACTTACAGTGATATATTTACAAGTACATAATTAGAACAATATACATGTAGGTACTGATCAAATTACATTGATGTGATACACTTCTAGAAATACAGTGTTTACATGTACATGTACCAGAAAATCAGGTTCTTGTATCATTCTTTGAAAAAGATTTGATAATACATAAACAACATTTGTACGGAGGTTATGTTTGACAGGCACTGTTGAAAAACAACATGGCTTGCCTGTTCGAAGAATATTAAAAACAAAAAGTGGAGTTCTGATTTGACTTCCGTGCAACAATGTATGACTCCTTGGGAACCTCCACGCAAGATATCAGCAATCTTAAATAGAAATACAGAATGATACTATTAATAGTAAATTTTGAAACTTGCACCAAAATTAGTTATGCCCAAAACTTTGAAGAAGATATTTTTTTATTTTGACTGCATTGCATCAATGCGGGGACCATATGGAACCTTCATATCAAATAGTTACATCAGTTAATTTCAACACATACACCTTAAACTTTAACCAGATTAGACATCAATGCTTTGGTAACTACGTAAGCCCCCTCGTATTCTTCGAATATGCAAGTGAAATATCGATAAAAACAACAAATTGAAACTTCTTCATTTGAATTTCTTTGGCAATAAAACATGTTTCATATTTGAAATCATATTCATTTCAAAGGAATCTTGTTCTCATAATTTTGAATGTCAACTTAAATTTTACCTCCTTTACAAAGGAAACAGAAATGTAGTGCAATATTTCTTAAGGCAACTGTGGTGTTTTCAACATAGACTCCGTGCAACTACAGGGGTACAATTCCACTAGCTCAACGCCCGGGGCTAGTAACTGGCCCAACGCCCGGGGCTAGTAACTGTGATGTGGAGGCTTGTAAACATTTTCAATATTACTATGAAAATACATTTTGGGCTAGAATAACTTTGCAAAATCTGCCTGCAGGCTAGTACTCGAAATATAGAATTGTACATCCCTGAACCATGTACTGGGACAAAATCCAAGACTTGGATGGGCTCATACAGGTGTGCTGATATTTAGACTCATTGCATAATAGAATCCTTGTTACCTTAAATTATCTATCACTGACCATAGCAAAATACCAAACTACAACATTTCTTATAAATTATGAAAAATATCTGTTGGGTTTCATCACAAAAGAAATATAATATTTAGTTTCACAAACAGGTACATTACTAGTACTATGTACAATGCTATAAAAGCACACTGTGATCATCTGCTGCTTCAGATGGCTCAAAATTTAAACTTAGTCTTGTCTGCCAAAAATATCCATAGCACTTCACGATCAGTCAAATATTTATGATAAAAAAATACAAAATTTGTGGAAGTTCATTTTAAACATTAGGCAGTATTTGAAAACACTTAAAGAAAATTAAAATGATAACTGAAGCAGCAGAGTAGTGCTAACCTAGATAGAACCCCATAGGTACTGAAGTTATCCATCTAAACACATATATAGGTACAGTGTATATACACAGTTTGTATAAAACAGGTACTGCTCTATACCCTTCTATGAAATAAACTTGTCATGGTAAGAAGAATATGATTTAAATGGCCTTGTTCAATATAATAGAGAAAACTCTGAAAATAAGGTTTCAATCCCAGGCTGAGAACATCTGAACCAGATGCCTGATTTTGATTGATCACAGTAGGAATGTAGAAATATTTTTCACAATGGCGAGACGTGAGAGAACGGTTCATTCTCTTGGTTTACCAAAATAATAGTAAATAGAATATCATGCTACTGCCGTGGGTATTATAATTCCTAATTGCCACTGAAGCATATCCTCCTTAGAATATCCCGATTGTATGGAGAATCATATGACCTGTCATTTGGATAATGTCCAAATTCAAACCTTTATCACATTAACCTTTAACCTCTTACAAAATATACAGTTCATATTGATATCAACTTGACATAATTAAGGTGCTTTTCCACCAATAAATATCATTTTCTCTACAACATTGTTTATATTTTTAAAAGCATTGTTAAAGCTATATTCTGAAAAGATGAATTTGTATTTAAAAACTTCAATGAGTTTGTAAAATCATAATTTTCATCATCTTGAAAAACATTAAAACATGATGGGTTTTTTTCAATTAAAAAAAGCTTTTGTCTGGACTCTCTGGCTATAAGTCTATGTCATTATTTTGGTCTCCTTCATCACTCTCCTTAAGTCGCTAGACAGCCATTTTATTGGCATGGTAACATTTATCTCTTGACCAATGACTGAAGGAGATCGATGGGTAGAGGGAATATGATGGTGGAGTTTTTCTCGGCTGCGATGGTGTTGAGAGTCTGTAGGTAACGGAGCTGGACAGCAGCCGGAGCCTCAGACAAGATGTCAGCCGCTTCCTTCAGGGCTCGAGATGCCTTTTGTTCTCCTTCAGCAGCCAATACCTGTCGAAAGTAAGTTTTAGATGTGAAACCAATATCAATTAACAGCTTTAAATGTATCTTGAAATGGAGTTCATATGTTAAGGTCTCCAATCCCTGGGATTAACGTTCAGGTCTCCCATCCCTGGGATTAACCATATCATATGTTCAGGTCTCCCATCCCTGGGATTAACCATTTCATATAACCATTTCATATGTTCAGGTCTCCCATCCCTGGGATTAACCATTTCATACGTTCAGGTCTCCCATCCCTGGGATTACCCATTTCATATTTTCAGTCTCCCATCCCTGGGATTAACCATATCATATGTTCAGTCTCCCATCCCAGGGATTAACCATATCATATGTTCAGGTCTCCCGTCCCTGGGATTAACATATCATTTGTGTTTTCAGACAATTGTCCTTTCAAACAAAGAATTACACAGTAAAATTCAATAAATTACCCCAGTTCACACTAATTTCTCAGTTACCTTTTAGAGGAAAACTACTTCAGTATTCAGTGATGAGACTATATAGATCCCAACAATGGAAATGCATTTTTTTCTACCGAAATACATTGATGGATATAATGTAAGTTATGGCATGGAAGACATGGAGCTGTCGCCTCACGGGATGTACTCCCACCTCACCCCACCCTCACACCCCATCCCCAAGCATTATAGATACAAACCTTAGCTCTCGCCTCACGGGATGTACCCCCCCCCCCCACCCCCAAGCATTATAGATACAAACCTTAGCTCTCGCCTCACGGGATATACCCCCTACCCCCACCCCCAAGCATTATAGATACAACCTTAGCTCTCGCCTCACGGGATGTACCCCCACCCCCCCATCCCCAAGCATTATAGATACAAACCTTAGCTCTCGCCTCACGGGATGTACCCCCCACCCCATCCCCAAGCATTATAAATACAAACCTTAGCTCTCGCCTCACGGGATGCTTCAGCCTCAGCAGCCATTGCCCTTTGTAACTGATGAGGCAGGCGCACATCTTTGCTATAAGTAGGAATGGTATATTGTAACAACAGCAACATGGAGTTTTTTGTTTAAACTAAAACTCAGCACAAAATATTAGCGCCTTAAAAATCAATTACTCATTCTGAATTCTTTGTATAAGGATCAGAAGACATTTGCTTTGTGTTTTTTACTTTTCAATTAACGTCATGACATTAAATAAAACAGAACTGAAGCCAATCAATTTCTAAAGCCAATAAAGAATTGGAAAATTAATTCCATAGTCGATTAAATTAAGGTGATAACAACTTTTTACATTTTATCAAATCAATGTTCTCTTTACTTACATTTCCACACGGTCAACCTTCACTCCCCAGGGATCAGTGGATTCGTCCAGAATTTGCTAAAAAAAAAATAGACAGCGAATATATTACATTGCAGTAGACCTGAGTTTATGAAGTTGAATCAGTAAAGGTTTATATTCATACATGAGCATGTCTAAGTGATGCAGTACAGTACTTGCAAAAATTTTCGGTGTAAATATTGAGCAAAAGTTCCCTTATAAACCATGATATAAGGTAATATTAAGAATGTGATTGGTCACAAATTATGAGGTTAATATTTGTATCACTTATACTTGATGTAATAATAAGTTCACATCACTGTCCAATTCCCATGACATTTACAATGTAAAGGCAGCTTTAAACACTGTCTTCTCAAAATACTGCTTCCGATACTTTCACACCAATGTATTGGTGGACAGATGGTGCAGTGGAAAGCGCACTTGTCTTTCACCAAGGCGGGCGGGGTTCAATTACCCGATCGAACGTGAAAAGGTTTAGGGTCACCAGCCCGACCACTTGGGTTTTGTCCGGGTACTCCGGTTTCCTCCCACACTAAGACCCCCCGCGCGCTAACATTCGGGCCAACAAGAGTGATTAATATACGTTGAAATAACTAGTTTCATAATTGTTGTAAAATCAATAAAGTTTATATTTCACACCAACGACATGGAGGTTTGAACCCTAATTACAAAAATACTTATATTTTATGTATTCACAAAAAATCTATGAGTTACAAAATCATGAATTCTTACAAACTCTTTACCTTCATCTGAAAGGAAATAGCATCTCTGTCCGTCAGCATCTCGGACATGTTCTTAGTGCCGAGGACGTTCCTCAGGGTGGTGGACGCCAGTAACTTAGTGGACTGGAAGGCGTCCTCAACGTTACACACGGACATGACAGCGTCAAAGATGTTACAGTAGATTACAGCATCCACGGACACGGTAACCGAATCCTTCGACAAAATCTGTCAAATACAAATAAATACCAGGTCAATATCTTCAGCATTCAAAAATATCTAAAGCATGCAGTTTTTCCTGCAAAAATTGAATAACTGGTAAATGTTTAACAAAAAAATCATTGTTTGATATAGGTACTATTGTATCAATGCATTTCAATGGATATATTAACCTCCGAGTAATCAAAGCTTATCATTTGTTGTAATTCTCAGCGATTAACTTAATACAAATAAGCATTTATCACAAAGACATATAAGCTCTGTTCACAGAGAAATGACAAATTCTTCCATCGTCAGACAGGGTGATGTCAACTCTCTAGTTGTCAAGAATGAGGGTCATTACCCTCAGGTTATCTGCAGACAGAGCGAGAGTTAACTCTGTAGCTGTTACAAACACAGGGCAAGCCCATCATCCTGGTCTGTAGTTGACCATGTTTATCAATAACCTTGTGGAGGCTAAAATCACCTGAAGTAACTTAATTCTTCTGGGAAAACCTCAGATGCTACAGTAATTATTATATAACTTAATTCTTCTGGGAAAACCTCAGATGCTACAGTAATAATTATATAACTTAATTCTTCTGGGAAAACCTCAGATGCTACAGTAATAATTATATAACTTAATTCTTCTGGGAAAACCTCAGATGCTACAGTAATAATTATATAACTTAATTCTTCTGGGAAAACCTCAGATGCTACAGTAATAATTATATAACTTAATTCTTCTGGGAAAACCTCAGATGCTACAGTAATAATTATATAACTTAATTCTTCTGGGAAAACCTCAGATGCTACAGTAATAATTATATAACTTAATTCTTCTGGGAAAACCTCAGATGCTACAGTAATAATTATATAACTTAATTCTTCTGGGAAAACCTCAGATGCTACAGTAATAATTATATAACTTAATTCTTCTGGGAAAACCTCAGATGCTACAGTAATAATTATATAACTTAATTCTTCTGGGAAAACCTCAGATGCTACAGTAATAATTATATAACTTAATTCTTCTGGGAAAACCTCAGATGCTACAGTAATAATTATATAACTTAATTCTTCTGGGAAAACCTCAGATGCTACAGTAATAATTATATAACTTAATTCTTCTGGGAAAACCTCAGATGCTACAGTAATAATTATATAACTTAATTCTTCTGGGAAAACCTCAGATGCTACAGTAATAATTATATAACTTACTTCCTGTGGAGGCACATCAAAAGCTATGGTTCTCATGTCCACTTTCTTGAACTCATCAATACATGGGTACACGAAGAAAAGACCTAAAACAAAATCCACACAATGTAATGTAATTGTTCCTCGCTTTACTGTCCCCATTTCAATTAAGGCAAAGAATGTTTTATATATATAACCATGAAATGTCATTCCTAGAAGTCATACAGATGAATGTACAAATGTTTTGTTTTTCACAAAATCTTAAAAGCCAGCCAGACAAATAACATATTGGGCTGCAAAGCCGCTTCTGTGTATCTGTTTGCTGGACATTTCTCTATAATAAACAGAATGACATACCTGGCCCCTTGGCTCCGCCAGACACCACTCGACCGAGTCTGAAGATGACAGCTCTCTCATATTCCTGCACCACCTGGAACATATGATTATTTATTTGATTAAGCTCATGCCATGACTTACTCCTTTACAAGATCATATTTAACATCACTTCAGTAACTAAAACATATGACTTTCCTCAACTGATAACGACAAAACTTCTTCCAGTAGATTCTTACAATGACTTTTGCTGCTAAAGGTTAGTATCGTACTGTCACATGTTTGTGTCATACTGTCATATGTAAGTGTCATTCTGTCACATGTGTCACACTGTCACATGTAAATGTCATTCTGTGACATGTGTCATACTGTCATATGTAAGTGTCATTCTGTTACATGTGTCATACTGTCATATGTAAGTGGTATACTGTCACATGTGTCATACTGTCATATGTAAGTGTTATACCGTCACATGTAAGTGTCTTTCTGTCACATGTGTCATACTGTCACATGTAAGTGTCATTCTGTCACATGTGTCATACTGTCATATGTAAGTGTTAT